ATGCTTGTAAATGCTCCCACACCCTGGCATTTGCTCCTGAAATTCAGCTGCATCCTGAGCCTGCACAGCTCCAGCCTCTTTGCTCAGGAGTAGCAAAGCCCCACCTGCATCCCAACTCTCACCATCACCTCCACAGTCAGAGGCATGGGCTCTCCCTGGAATTTCCCCAGGACATGGCTTTATTGGCATCACCCAAACAGAGCCCATCCCAACGACTCAGGCACTGCGATTTCTGACAAGGCTTTGATGCACTTGAAGGACTCATTAATTGTTGTGCAGGGAAAGGTTTTGTACCTGAATTGAATGTTTTTGGAGCCCCTGTTGTCCACAATTGGTTTTCAGTGCATTCAGTCCATTGCAGAGATCCCCAGTCTGTGCTGCAGCTCTCACTGGTGCAGATCCTTTCGAGTGCTCAGGGTGCACACGGTCCTGGCAAAGGAGGGGATGAAAGTGACCACAGCTGGAAAAGGAAGGAGCAGCTCAGTGCTGACAAGAACAAATACAATCCAACATTTCCTTTCTGTATAACCATTGGCAAACACTTCTGATGAGCTTTAATGCCTCAGAGCGAAGCAAACAGACGGCGACGGGGTCAGGAAGAGTGAAGTGGGGATTTATTTTTTTCTGCTGGTCTCACAAATATCTTTGCAGATAGCAGTGATTATAAATAGTCCTTTGGCCATTTCCTGACCGTGGTTTGCCGACTCTTCCTTATTTATAGCAGTGATGAGGAGTGTTCAGCGTTTTGCCCCAGCACGGGGTTCAACCTCAGCATTTTGGGCACAGATTCCAAACTTCAGAGTGGGCACTGGATCAGAGGGAAGCCCACATCCCTCAGGGATAACTTTTGGCCCAGATGTCTGAATGCTCTGATGGATGAAGGGGATTGTGAGCTCTAGATTTACTTAGGAAGACTGATACCAATAATTTCCTCCTCCAGACTATTGAGCACATATCCCACAGAGAGGCTCCTCACTAGAATCAGCATGAGTGCCTTATGCAGGATCCTCATCACCTCTCTGGGCTTTGCCTCCACTGTGTTGTATCTTTGTCCTCAGGGGAGCTTTCATAAAATCACAGAATATCCTGAGCTGGAAGGGATCATGGATCATCAATCCAACCCCTGTCCCTGACCAGCCCCTGTCCCAGCAACCCCAGCCTGGGCATCCCTGGTAGCGCTGCCCAAAGGCTCCTGGAGCTCTGGCAGCCTCGGGGCCGTGCCCATTCCCTGGGGAGCCTGGGCAGTGCCAGCACCCTCTGGGGGAAGAACCTTTTCCTAATATCCAACCTAAACCTCCCAACTTTTCCAAAATGGAGTTAGCTGTGGACTGTAATGTCCTTCCAGGGGCTAAGTGACATCTCCCCCTGACTCGTTTGCCCAGCAGCCTGTCCCTGCTACCACCATCCCTGACCTCACAGCTCGAGCAGAAGTCCAGGCTGCAGCAAGCAAACTCCAGGACACTCCATCACCTCGGGATGGATGCTGTGCAGGCTCTGACACTCACACAGAGTAGCAACTGTTAGTGCTGCCTGCCTTACAAACAGCCTATGGGAGTACAGGAGAATACAGCACAGTAAAAGATTCTCAAGTTTGCAGAACCAGCCCTTGCATGAATGTGCATTGTCACGATCTTTAATCATATTATCACTTAGGATTACTGCAGCCAGGACACCCTCACCAGCTCATGGGAGGTGGGTGTCCTTCCAGGATGGCATTCCCAGTCTGAGATGACTACAGAGCTTTTCTGGGAAGGTGAAAGCGTTGCTGCTGCTTCATCTTAAGGGTAGGAAAGGAGGGAGAAGTCACTGAATTACATCTGGCAAGCCCAGTGCCGTGCAGATGCTGATGTCCCAGGAGGAACTCAACCTTTCCAGGCTAGGAATCCCACAGAGGTGTGAGCACCACTGTCCTCTCTGCCTGCAGACATCAGAAACTGGAGTAAGAAAAGTGATTGACCTTTCTTGGAAAGCGTGTTCTGAAATGTGGTCTGGAGAGCTCCTGGCGGCAATGGGCTGTCAGTCGCTGTTACCCAGCGAAGGTCTGAGGGCACTTCAAAATAAGGATTGGGTTTTCAGGCTTTGGTCACTGATCATGAGGAAGTTTTGAGAGACAAAGCCAAAATTTGGTACCAGTCAGGACAGAGGAGTCCATTGGATGTTATGGGAGTGGCAAGACTAAAACATCTGTCCCAAATAGGTCACCTCATCAGAAGGGACTTCAGCCTGAGTGACCTGATGAGTATCTCACTCTGCCAGGAATAAAACACGCTTGGAATTTCCCAGACCTAATCCATAGAAATTTCCTGATCAAGGATTTCTTGACTTGCAGAATTTCTGCATTGGACCTCACCCCATCAGAGGAGAAGGGAAGTCCCTCAGGCAGGAGAGGTCACCAGTGATGGTGTTTGTTGTGTCCAAACAGCACGAGAATGGCAGCAGGGACACAGGCAGATTCTAAGGGCTGGTTTCACAAAGCCAGGACCAACCAGCAGCCAAATCCCTCAGGTGGGAGGCTTTGAACTCTGAGATCTGACCCAGAACTGGGAACTCTCCCCTGTGGACCCCCAACCCCTCCACCCAGAGCAACATCTGTGTTTGCTGAGCAGTCAAAGCAGACGGCAAAGCCATTGCAAAAACACGCATGACAGAGAAGATCTGTTGGGGTCTCCATGAGTTTCACAGTTGGCTCTCCCTTTCTGCATCTATTCTGTCTCCATGACCAGAAGAAATGGGAGGTTTGGGCTGAGGAAGCTTGGACAGCTCAAACCTTGTCCTTCCAGAGGGAAGAGGGTCCCCAAAAGAAGGTGAAAGTTTGATTTATCATGGACATGGGAGGCAGGAGGCTTTTCCATGTTACAAATGGATCAAATGGAAGCAAAACAGGGTCAGGCTCAAAGTGAGAAGGTGACGAATGGTTGGCCAAGTCACCATGAGCTGTGATGGGTTCTTCAGTGCTGAAGAAGCTTCAAAGCACCCAGGAATGCCTTGAAATGTGCCCTCAGCCACCAGGAACACAGCGGGGCAGGCATCTTTTACCTCCAGGCTTTGGCTTTTGGAGGTCAGTGAGCAGGTTTCCAGAGACAAAGGGATGTTGAGGGTATCTCCAAGCTTCTCCCCATCCTGCAAACTCCGTGTCAAAATGGCATTTTCCCCCAAACCCTCCTCAAACATTTGTTAAACACCACATTTTGCTTTAGTCTGCTCCATGGGGGATTCTTTCTGGCTGTGCTTCATGCCAGCGCTGGGGCTGAAACCTCGTGAGTGGTTTCTGCTCTTGACTTCCCACATCCCTTCTAAGTTCATTCGGAAAACATCTTCCCTTGCCCAACGTCTCCACCAATTCCCCTGCCCCTTTGTTTTTATTTAGCTCTGTAATTACATTATCTGACCGTATAGCGATTTGGAATGAAATCTGCATAAAAGATATTAAGAAAAATAAATCTGTGTTTTGCAATATCTTTGAAGTTATCTTTAGGTTGGGCAACAAGAGCAAAATCAGCATTTGGCTTTCTACAAATCCTTGGTTTTGTGGAGCTCTTGGGAAAGAGGGTTTCATGGGCTGGGGCAGGAAAATTCACAAGTTCAGATTATTTTATTAATACTATTAATAACTATTTTTGGCACTGCTTCAGAAGGAAGAAAACACCAGGTATGTATGAGATGTAATTATGTTTATAGTTAATACTGTGTGCTTTCCAGGGCAAGAAAAGCACAGATTTTTTTTCCCTTTCTTTTTGGAGGAAATTAACAAAGTCTGCTGATGAAATTAAGAAAGTTTGCTGAGCAGCAATGAGCATTATGAGCACGTGCTGAGGAACAGCTCTTTGTGGAGGGACAGGGGGTTGGGATGAGTTTTGTGTGAGGGTAGAGAAAGGATTTCCCCTGTTTTGTGTTGTGGCAAAACAACTCTCAAACATGAGAGGACCAAGAGCTGGGAGCTACAAGGCTAAAAGGGCAGGGGGTGATTTCAGCCCTGGGTGTGCTGTGGGGGAAGGAAAGAGTTGGGGGACAGGAGGCAGGGGTGATGCTGCCCAAGCCATTTGGACAATCATAAAATCAGAGACTTTTTTGAGATGGAAGAAACCAACAAGGATCATCGAGTCCAGCCCCTGTCCCTGCCCAGAGCCCCCAGCAACCCCAGCCTGGGCATCCCTGGCAGCGCTGGCCAAAGGCTCCTGGAGCTCTGGCAGCCTCGGGGCCGTGCCCATTCCCTGGGGAGCCTGGGCAGTGCCAGCACCCTCTGGGGGAAGAACCTTGCCCTGAGCTCCAGCCTGACCCTCCCTGACACAGCTCCAGCGGTTCCCTCGTGTCCCTTCTGGCAGGTCATCTGTCCCCTCTCACCCCGCGTCCCCTCGGATGCCGCTTCGTCCCTAGACCCTTCCCCACGTGCTCAGTGAGGTGTACGAGGGGTACGAGGCCTGGGGAAGCCGTGCGGGACCCGGGCTGTGCCCGCAGCTCCCACCTGCCGGGCTCTTGCCCCCTGCCCGGCCCGGGGGCCCCCGGGGCTCTCCCCGCGCTGGGCCGGGGTCCGCGGGGCCCGGGCCGGGCCGGGGTCCGCAGCCCGCACACGCACCCACCGCGGGACACCTCCCGGGGGGCGCCGCAGCGCGGAGCGGCCCCACGGCGCCGAGCGGCCCCGCGCCCGCCGGGCGGCGGCCGGGCCGGGCCGGGCCGGGCTGCGCGGTGCCCGGCGCGGGGGCGGAGGGCAGCGCGGGGCCGGCCGGGCGGGCGGCGGGGCTCCCGCGCCGGGCCAGACTCAGCCCCTTTCTCCCGGCGCCGCCGGCTGCGAGCGCGCTGCGGCTGGAGCTGCCCCCAGAGCGGCTCGTGATGGCGGCGGCGCGGGCTCGGCAGCGGGAGGCGCCCGCCCAGCCCTGCGCGCCGCGCCGCTAGCGGCAGCGCCCGTGCCCGCGGCGGCCGCCCCGGCCCATGCCCCGGGGGGAAGGGGGGCTGCAGCAGCCCGGCGAGCCGCCCACCCGCGCAGCGGGGGCATCGCCCCCACTCGCCGCTCCTGGGAGGGCGGAAAGGAGGCAGCGGCGGCGGCGGCGGCGGCTTTGTGCGCGGCGGGCGGATCGCAGGCCGCGGCGGCGCGGGGCTCGCCTGCTCCCGCCCCAGCCCCATGAACCAGCCGGACGGCTCCGCTCCGGCGGCGGCGGCGGCAGCAGCGCAGGTACGCGGCGGCCGGGCGGCGTGTCCCCGGGGGGAGGCGGAGGGAGCGGGGAGGAAGGGAACGGAAGGGAAGGGAAGGAGGGAGGGCGGCAGCCGCAGCCGCCCCGTCGCGGAGCCCCGGCGGCGCTTTGGCGCAGTGCGCGGGGGCAGCGCCGGCAGCGGCTCCTCGGACCCCGCGGTGCCGGAGCCCGCGGCCGCTCGGACCGGGCGGAAAACAAAGCGGAGCTCAGCAGCCATGTCGGGGACGAGCCGCCCCTCGGCCCGGCCCGGCCCCGCACCCCGGCCCGGCCCGGCCCGGCCCCGCCGCGCTCCGCGCCCCGAGCCCCTTCCCGGCCCTTTTTCTTTTTCTTTTCCTTCTTTCTTTTTTTTTATTATTTTTTATTTTTTTAAATTTTTTTTCCTCCCTCTCTTAATTTTTCCTCCGGAACGTTTTGGTTTTTTTTCCCCCCCATTTTTTTTTCCATTAAAACGACGCCACCTAGAGGAGACTATTTCGTAAATAAAAAAAAAAAAATTAAAATTGAAAAAAAAAAGGAAATATTCTGCTATTTCTAAATTTTTTCCCAGAAAGTTGGGGCTGGATCTCCCAATGTTGGGGTTCCTCCGGCAGCTTTCGCAGCGCCCCGCAAATTTCGTGTTTGTCCTTTTGGAGCCAAAGCCCAGCTTATGGAAATGAAAATTAAACAGGAATTTGAATGAATTCAGGTTTTTCTCCCTCCACCCCCATTTTCTGGAGAAAAACGGAGCCTGGGAGCAGCAGAGTGCTGGGAAAGGAAAGTGAGTCAAGTTTTTGGTGGGCCCCCCCGGGTGAGCTGCAGGGAGGGATTAGTTTGGGAAAGTGGGAGAATTGCTGTTCCGGAGCAATTAGGAATTGGGCTTCATTGTAATTTTGAACTTGTGCAGCAAGCTCTGCCAAAACTCAGGGTTCATTTTTTTTTCCGTTTTTGCTGCAGTGCTTAAAGTTATTTTGTTTGAAATGAGGAGTTTTGCAGGAAAATGAAGAACCCAGAAAATTTGCTGTGGACACACCCAAATTTTTTTTTTTTTTTTTTTTTTTTGTGATTTTGGATTTCATGCAAAACTGCTGTTAAACAATGAGGTTCTAAACGCAGTCCAAGAAAACACGAGGACAAGCAAAATTAAGAGTCGAATGTCAGTTTTATTTTAGAATTTCTTGGCTTTTTGGATGATTTCTCCTGGCATAATTAAAACAGTTTCCAGCATTTAATTTCCTACTTCTTTTGTAGAGAAGAAAATTTCCATACTATGGTTTTTAGGTTTTTTTTCCCCTTCTTTTTTTAAACACACTGTAATAACTCCATGTCCTATGGCTCACATAAATCTAATATTTACACAGGTTTATTATAAGGTCCGCCATGATATTATGAATATGCATAATTAACAATATTGTGAAAAAATAATTGCAGATTTTGTGATTTTCATTTTTTTTCAATTTGAAGTGCCTTTAAAGGGCTCAGCCATGATATTTTTCACAATTTCAAAATCCTTTTTCCCCTTGACTGTTAAAGCCTTGCTGGAGTTTGAATTGAAATTTTTTTTTTCATTATTATTTTTGGTGGGGTTTTTCTTAATTGTTTTGTTTGTTTGTTTGTTTTAAATGCTGTCCTATCCCTATTATTTTGCTGTTACAGAGTGCCTGTGAGTTCTGGACTGTGCACACACTGGTTTATTATTGTAGGGTTGCCCTTGAATACTGGGGTCTTGGTATTGATCTTTTTAAAAATAAATAACAAAAGAGCACTGAAACATGCATTGTTTCAAGAAAAAAGCAATCTAGGAGAGCTACATGGCCTTTCCACCCAAAAGTGGGGGAGGGAGAGGAAAGGAAAGATTAGGTCAACATTGAGTTTTACCAACCTTGACACAGTATCCTCTCTAAAATGGGGACAAAATAGCAAGATGGCTGGCTCCACAGCTGCAGCAGTTTGGATTTTTTTTTTTTTCTTTTTGAAAAAAAGCATTTTTAAATTTTAAACTCCAAAGTGAATTTCTGGAGCTGCCAGGCACCCACTAGCAAAGGCTGAAATCTGGGTGCTGCACAAAATAAAATTAAATTTCAAACCAGAATGAATTTTTAATTTTGAATCTCAAACCCCTGAAAAGTTTTTTTTTTTTAATTTTGATTTTTTGTTTGGTTTTGATTTTCTGTTCCCTGTAATTTGATATTTGATGGAAATCAGAAAGGAATGGCTGGTGAATTCAGGGTTCAGGGGCTGTTTTCACTTTTCTCCCCTTTATTTGTTTCATGTTTTGAGTTTTTCAAAGGGGGGGGAAATGGAAAAAATTTGCAAAGCAGGATAACTCTTGGGTGGAGGAAGAAATACTCCGAAATGTCAACTCCATATTTTTATTTTTGCATTTATTTGCCCCCAGCCCCCCCGAAGGGGACCCACCCTCTTCCTGAATCCCTTTTTTAGCAAATAATGGAAATGCAATGGAGCGGGAGGCCGGTGCCAGCCCGGCAGTGGTGCACTTAGAGCCGGGTGGCACATCTGGGTAAAAATTACACACAATGCTCCAAATTGGATTAAACAATCCTGGAGAATATTTTATTCATGGTTTCATCCAGGAAGCTGTAGCCTGGTGGCTTTTCCATATTCTTACCCTCCAAGAATTCCCTTCCTTGAGCTGCACCCCAGAACTTTTACTACAATACCATTGTACCCCAAGAAAGTGTCCAGCTGTAAATTTTTTTTTTTTTTAATTTTAAGATTTCATACATTTTTTTCTTGTGCGAATCAGACCTTTTGATGCTGCTTTTCCTTTGCCCTGCCACACTCCCGGAGATGTGGGGAGCATCCCCGTGGATTTGGGATTTGGGATTTGGGGGGGATGCACCGATGGGTGCTGCATTTTAATTAGAATTAATGACCAAGCCTCAGTTCTGGGGTGCCAGTGCCAAGTGTGGCCATGATGCCTTTTGAGTTTCTCGTGAAGCAGAGGGGTTGAACAGGGGAGGCCTGGGCTGGAGGTGTTCCCTGCTGTGCTGGGGGTGCTGTGTGTGCCCTGCAGCGCTGGGGGCGAGGCCGTGTCCTCCTGCACGGGGATGCTCTGGGAACTGCAACCCTTCCCATCTTTAACTCCCTGGGGAGCTGCAGCTTTCCAGCACCAGCTCCTGCTGCTGGCATGTAATGGGTCTGAATCTCACCTTTCTGCCTGTCCTTCCAGCACAAACCTGCTCCTGCCTGGAAAAGATTTCATAATTTTTCATTGCAGTCTGCCTTCAGGGGGATTTTTTTTCCTTTTTTTTTTTTCTTCTGGAAAGTTGATCAATATTTTATCCTTTTCAAAATTGCTGTTGGCAGCCTGGAAGGGGAAGGGGAGGGAGGGAGCTCAGTTGAGTGATACCAACAGATTTCTTGTGACATAACTGAAATGTATTTTTTAAAAAAGAAAAATTTCCAGGACCTCATTTTCAGTGACATATTTTCATTCCAGAATGAAAACAGACATAATATTATTAAAGTAGTAGATAATATTTATACAAATGCCATATAAAACCTTGGGAGGTTATTGCATGACTCCAGGATAATTTAAATATATATCACTGCCATAATGCAACGCTGGGAATAGTTCAGTTCACGGGTGCAGTCACGTGGCCCCGGTGATGCACAGTCAAGTTTGCAATTATGCAAGTGCAGGAGTGAAATTAGAGTGGAATTAGTGTTCTAAAAATTAGATTAATTTAATTTTAATTTTATTTTGCAGGGGAGAGGGTTGAAACCTGCTCTAAGAGTCATGCTGATACAGAGTCAGGATTTGTGCCTGCTGTGCCAGGGCAGCTCAGGCTGGAGCTCAGGGCAAGGTTCTTCCCCCAGAGGGTGCTGGCACTGCCCAGGCTCCCCAGGGAATGGGCACGGCCCCGAGGCTGCCAGAGCTCCAGGAGCCTTTGGGCAGCGCTGCCAGGGATGCCCAGGCTGGGGTTGCTGGGACAGGGGCTGGGCAGGGACAGGGGCTGGACTCATGATCCCTGTGGGTCCCTCCCAGCTCAGGATATTCTGTGGGTCAATAATTCTTTGGATGCTCTGCCTGTTCAAGGATTTTGACCTTCCCACCATGGCATGGCAGGACTTGGTACGAGGTCCTGGATGCTGCTCCTGGATGTGGTGCCCATGGCACAGCCCCCATGGACAGGTCCCCATGGACAGGTCCCCCTGGCACAGCCCCCATGGACAGGTCCTGCAGGGCCACGCTGGCTCTGGGTGCGTGGCAGTGTTGGGTCCCTGGCGCTGCCCATGGAGCCCCTGTTGGCCTCTACTTGAGCATCCTCAGCTTGAGCCTGGCTCAGATTTGGGGAGTGGCACAGGGCAGTGTGCCAGCCTGCCCAGGGTGCTGTGGGATAAGGGTGTGCAGAAATGTGGCCCATCCCAAGGGTTTGCTGCATCCCCCATTCCCTATGGGTGCTACCCTGGGCTCTGTGCTTGCTCCAGTCCATGCTTGGGTCCCTGCACGTGGTTATTTGTGTGCTGGGAGCTGTAAAACAGACAAGGGTGGTCCTGCAGATGTGGGGAGCCACCCCAAAATGTGAGTTTTGTCAGAGGTTTGCCAGATCAGGCAATATTTGTACATCATGTACCAAGTGGGGTGAGGGGAAGAGGTGCCTGGGCAGGGGCTGCCAGTGCTGCTGGAGGCTGTGCGTGTTCTTGGTAAGGGATGTGGGGAAATGGCCCCAGGAGATATTTATTTCTTGCAATTTCCACATTTCTGTGCATCCAGCATTGTGCATATTTGGAATTTCACATTTACGGATTCCATTTGGCCATACCGTGTTTTCTGGGGAAGAAGTTTCTAATTTTTAAAGGTCTTTTATGGATTAATTGCTAGTCATCTGCCTCCTTTTTTCTTTTGTTTGGTTCCTTGAATGTCTCTTGATTATTTTGTACTATGTGATGCCAATTTAGTGGTTAACTAGTATGCAAACTACATCTGGACGTGTTGACTTTGCATTAACAATCATTGATTTGTCTGGAGCAAGGGAAT